CTCTCTTTTTCATAACAGAACCATAGATGAATAGCAGCTTACAGGGACACAGAACCCGGAGCTTCACATCAATTAAGCACATATGAAATTCCTTAACAAGCATGTTGCAATGGGTGTAACTGTATGGGTAAACAGGGAGACCTCATCAAGTTCATTCACACTTTGGACAGCATGGCAACTTTACATTTAGACATATTATCCCAGAAATAAGGCACTTCTTTGTCTGTAACTTTTTACAAAGAGTTTACAATGTGTTGTCCAATTGTAATTACATTTTAAAGCCTTGTAAATCAAGCCTTGTTAGCTTCAACAGGCAAGCTAGCTCATGTCAAGCTAACAGCCAGTCCAAAATAGTTGTTTAAAATACTGTTAGCAGCTAACGGTAGCATGATGAACACAAGCATCAAGGCTTTAAAGTTCCAACATACAACTATAATATTACTCAACTACTTTAGTTAACACCTTTATCTAAGCATAATGTGCTTTGTTGTTGTAATGCCAATGTAGGAGCCAGGTGTGGCCTGTGTCGTTTTGTATGCCCTTTTTTGTCACTTCCGGTGCACTTCTGGTGATTGAGTCACGTGGTGCTGGAATAGCCACAACGGGGGTTTATCAGCTGTCAGTATAGTTAGACAAGGGGAAGGATTGGAAGGAGAGGTGGTGAGAGAGGGAGCTTTATTTTTTGTTGACCGCTATTTCATGTTATTTTTACACGTTATTCACATTAATATTGACAAATTATTGAGTTATGATTGTATGCCATCTAGAATCAACGTTTATTTGTTGCCCACAAATAAACACTCGAAACTCATCCACTGGATTCCGGAAGTCATTGACGTTACAGCCAGCGCGTCCGCAAGTTTAATCTCCCCTGCTTAGCCTCTCGGTGACTACTGGAAAGTTGCTCATAGTCACCTACAGCCAAGGCAATTGTTATATATATGTGTATGTGTGTGTATATATGTGTATATATGTATGTATATATATGTTTATGTATATATGTGTATGTGTATATGTGTATGTGTATATGTGTATGTGTATATGTGTATGTATATATGTGTATGTATATGTGTGTATGTATATATGTGT